TTGTAGTATGTGCAAAAAAAATTCTGTTGGTAACAATTAAATAATGTTACGTTTGATATTATTGAACATTTGCGTTTAAAATGTGAGCTAGCTAGATAGATAATATACTATATCCGATATTCCATAGGATCATGTAAAGCAAAATTTTATAGTTATCCGATAGTATTTTATATGCAATATCAAATATGAAATTTATTTCATTATTATTTATACACGCAATAAAATTATATTTATATACATTATCAATTCTATAAGCTAGTGATAAGATTATACTTTGTTAGACTATTAATAAACTATTTATACATGATCATTGAGGCCTCTCGGATATAAAATTTATCCGATAGAAAATGATTACATTATTTTTACTTATTACAGGAAAATGATTGGCTGAATAAGCCACTTCGTGGCTTATTTTCAGCCAATCATTTACCCTCCATAAGTAAAAATAATGTTATTCACTCTTTTCCATCGGATAATAATATAGTATATGCTTTTGTTACGTAATAAAAAAGGGAACGGTACTTGTAAATGAAGTCATTTTAATTTCTATTGCTCTATTGCAATTATCACGTAAATTTTTTCTTTTGCTTTATTTTATATGCAATAAAATTAACATTTTTTAGCACTTTATAATGTTTCTGTAAAAAAAATCAAAAATAAATTTAGAAACTTGTTTAACTAATCTTGCTAAGCGTACTTTTCTAATTGTTAAATATAGATTATAAAAATATAAAACCGCTTCCTAAAATTAAAATAAATAATGTAAAATTTTTTATATTCAATTCAAGTGCTAATGACACTAAAGTAATTAAAATTTCATCATAAATATTTGATTTATTTTTAAAGAAATAATACCACCATCAATATATCTAAAAAAAAAATCATGATAAAAACATTTAAGGTGCAAATAAAAGTGCAAATGTAATAATTTAAAATATTTTTTGGTGAAATAAGTCAAGTACAAATTTAGAAAAGATTTCTTATTAAATATATATTATGACATTGTTACTATTGTAAGAATCTTTCAATTTTACGTCTATCTCCAAAAAAAAAAAAAAAATTCCTGTAAAAAATTTTACATGAATATGATACATTTATGGAAATAATATTAAATAAAAAAAAACACGGAATAAATTTTTTATGGGGCTTGAGATATTTTTTATCCGAGTGGACGGACAATATTTTGAACTTATTTACCGAACCAGTTTAAAATCTAATTCTTAATTTTATGGCCAAATTTCCTGAAAAATATGGTTCCACTTATAAAAAAGGATGATTTACAAATGAAAGAATTGAAGTTTGGTAAAATTTATCCCTCAAAAATGGTAAAGTCGCTTGAATTTATTTCTAATAAATCTTTTGCTCTATTTACTCTCAGAGATGATTTACAAAATGAAAGACTGAAGTTTAGTAACATATATTAAAGTGAGATTTTGTACAAAATTCAACTCTTGTTTCATATCTAATACTTATTTTTTTTTAGTTCACAGATGAAGAAACTGTACAAAATATTCGTCTATACAAATTTTTAATTTTCAAGAAATTGTTGAATTTATATTGAATCGTAATGGCGAATTAAATTCCCAAAAATAAGCAACTCGTAAAATTTATTGAAAATTCTTTGTAAAATTTCAACAGACAATATAATAAATATAATTATAATTGAAAATAATGTTTAATGAAGAAAATTATGCTATTCCGGCATTAAAAGTATTATAATCCTAATTACTTTAATCATCAGTTTCATTGATTAGCAATTTCCCAATTTCTGATTCTATATCAATATTGATTTCCCACTTCTTTATGATCATAACAAGTGATAAGCTTAGCTATTTTGTTTGGGTTAGAACGATTTTTCATTCATTGTTATAAAAAATTTATATTAATTAATATTCCAATTTTAAGCGTAGAAATGTTATGGATTTTCCCGTTATACAATTCAAATTATTTCAAAAGAATTTACTGATATTTGTAGTTTTATGTATAAAATTTATTTCCATCATAACTAATTATATAAATAACTTACACAGTACGAAATGATTTTAATATAATCATCTAAGTTATTGGTCTATAGACAATAAAAGCCCCAATTTCTTCAATTATAAAAGTATTGCCTTCTAATTGTAAATTATTTTCATAATCATTATAAATATATAAATTTTGAACTTTCACATATAATGAATTCCAACCAAAATTAAAATCGGTACTAATATAATCTAATATATCTTTAGAATTATTTACACGATTAATTTTCATATTTTTCATATCTTCATTATTTTCGAATGAAAAGATTTTATCAGATTGTTGACCTTAATTAAACTAGACTTACTACTTAACCTTTACATTTATTCTTAAATGAATTAATATCAAATTGATAAATAAGGTCAAATCTATTTAAAGGAATCTTCTTTCAGTACGAATAAATAAAGGATTTTTTATCAATCCAATTGGAAATTATATTCACAAGTTACAATTTGAATAAAACATATAATTTAGGTTGATCAACTAAATAAACGTCATGATATTTTCATAATATCGTTAGGGATAATAGCCTTAAGAATAACGATATTGTAATCATCGGCATGATTAATATAGAATAAAAATCTTTTGAAAGTCAAGAATAAAAAATTCTAGTTGTAAATAAAGATAGACAAACTGAAGTTTTGTTCCAAGAAATACAAAAAGCTAATGCTAAACGGACGACTAAGGATGATTTTTCAAAATCAGATGATAAATTAAGAGAGCCTGTGGATGCGAACGGTCACGTGACCAACGAGGGAATGGAAGGTACTTATAAGGGTTTAAGTCAGAAAGAAATTGCTGGAGAGGTTCCAGTATCTGCTGAAGAGATAGAAATATATAACAAGGTAAATCAAGCTTGTTCATCACGTTTACCACCTGAAATAAAAAAAGAGAAAGTTGTGGTAGACGAAAAAATTGGACAAAGCGAGTTAATAAAGAGGAATTGTGTAGGGGAACGATTAGTAGTGAAGGTTCTGAAGATAGCAGTGAATCAGAAAATGGTGAGACAATTTTAGAAGGGAAAAAACAGGTAATGGGAGGAGGAAAAAGTAAAAAAAAGAGTAAAAGTAGGAAGTCAAAGAAAAAAAGCAAGAGAGATGGTAAGTAGGTAAGTAAAGATTTATTGGTAATAAAGTGTGTTAGCTTAAATTTTAATTAAAAAGGGTTAAATTAAAATTAAAAGATGGCTAGCGTTAGTATAGTTGATAGAATTTATAGTTAAATTTTTATATATTTGTAAAATATTTTGGTTTTTATTATGTTGGTTTTTGAAATTTTTAGATTAGTTACTTTATTAGCAGATGCATAGCGTCTAAATTGTGATAGGTTGTTTTATATAATTATCACAATATTAATAAAGATTAAATTTGGAAAAAAAAAAAAAAAAAAANGATACTGTAATCATCGGCATGATTTTCTTTTACCGAAAAAAGGCAAAAGGTCAATAAAGTTCATGTGCTCGAATGCGCGAATGATTTTTTGGTTAAAATTCATGTCAATCAACGACCTAATCGCCTATGGCTTCTGAAAAACACGCACATAAGCACGACCAGCATTTTGGATTACCGCGAAATTTTCAAAATATCATTTGTACACCATAAATGAAGAAATATTTTTCATATTTTAAACTATTAAGTTTATTTATACCACCTACATTTTATTTAAGACTTCCAAGATATTGTGTAAAAAATAAAAGTACATTAATAAATCAAAGTCATGGCTGATAAGTTGCATATCGAACATATTAAACCTTTAATAAGTTTCTGTTAAGATCGTTATGCTGAAATAATTTTTTTTTTTTAATGATTACTTAATTTACTTTTCACCAAGTATTTTTTTAACCGTGGCGTAGTTATTATATATAATTATGTATAAAGGAAATCAGGAAATCAGAAAATTAAATCGAAAATTAAATCAACAATCAAAATTAAGCTCAAAATTTAAACTGTTTTTACCGTTTTTGCCAAAATTATATTACAGGTTAAACATAAAGTCCACAAAGTTATTGCTAATAATTCTGTCATTCTATTGAAGATATATTGTATTGTATATACGCCATTTCAAATCCTCACTATATACTGGCAGCGTGCTAAAAAAATTTTATATATAAAAGCCTTTAGATTTTCATAAAATATCGAAATTAGGTTAATTTACTGACTGTTCCTGGTAGGCTGCAGCCACTATATTTATCAGGAAATCTGGCGAATCACATGAATTTTCCATGATTTTGTAATACTACACCTTTTTAAAAACGAATATTTGAATTTACCTTTAATTGTAAAATTATCAATATCGTCATGTTCAAATAAGTCGTGCACTAATTACATATGAGGATTATTTATTTGGGAACACTTAAAGATCCGGATACAATGTAGTCTGGAGATGTATTTGAAAAAAGATTTGCTATGTTCACTGTTTACGTTTTAAAAACAGATTTCTAAAAATGGCTCCAGTTAAGCTATAGCTGACAGTCGATGATTGGAAGTTAAGGTGATGTCAAGTTTTTTTTAATGGATTCTTTCCTAAATTTTGATGGACGTCATTCTACAAAGTTAAATCATACAAAGAACATACAATTTTCTCTTTTATTTTATATAAATTGATGCTTAAGTACTGTATATAAAAAAAATTTATTAAAATCCATGTTTATTGAAAATTAATAATTCGTTATACCAACAAAATAAAAATTTCGAAATAATTTAATCGTGAAAATAAAGTGATTGTAAAACTTATTTCAATTTAACATAATATTGATGCTAAATTTTTATCGAATTATCCTATCAATCAATAACATTATAGAATTTTAATTGTACAATAATAAAAACAAAGAGATAATATAATATTGAGAAAAAGAATATATAGCTTTAACCTAATTTGAATAAATAAAACCAAAAGAAATGATAACTAACTAATTTAATAAACTAAATAACCTTTGATTTTCCTGTAATATAAGAGATAAAATGAGTTAACCATTAAATTTATTTCTTAAGAATAAATTGAAATATATACGTACCAACATTATCTTTAATTGTTAATTGAGAAATATCAATTTGTAAAGATTCTATTTAATGAAATAAGATATATTAGTATTTTTTACATTTAATTCATACAAAATTATTACAGTATTTACCTGAAAATTTTTCACTAATTATATTGTCATTTTGTTCATCATAATAATCATCTGAATTTTTTAGTTCTGGAAGATTATTAAAATTAAGTAATCTACTTGTATAAACGGCTTCAGAATGTGTTTCGTATGATAAATTAGTTAAAGGTATACTGCTAGTTGGTAGATTATTATTGATTTCTTCTGCTTCTCTAATTTCTTTTTGTAATTCTGTATCCTGTTTATATTCCAATTTAAGGGATTCCTTTTGCCATTGACCTAAAACTTTTTTGACTTCATTTGCCGTAGGTCGATTTAATGGATTTGCATCCAAGCATCTTTTGATTAAATTCACAATCAATTGAGGTACTTTGATATTAAATCTTGGTCTAAGTCCTTGACAAATTTTTATTGCTAAATTTTTATCATGGCTTACATCATGGTATGGAGGTAATCCAGAAATTACTTCATACATAATTATACCAAAACTATAAATATCAGCAGCTTTAGTATAATTTTGTCCTCTTAAAACTTCAGGAGCAATATAAGGTAAAACTCCATATATACTGTTTTTTGTATTTTCCGATGCATTATAATCTGCAGGTTTACATAATCCCATATCAGTTATAGAAGCATAATCATTTTCCGAAAAATGAAGTATATTTCCAATATGTAAATCTCGATGAATTAGTTCTTTTTCATGAATACTCTTAAGTCCTAGTGTAATTTGGTATAAATTTAATAGCTTAGTATCCCAAGTTAATTTATAATGATTTTTATCCAAATAAGTTCTTAAACTTCCATTATTTGCATATGTCAAAACCATCATGTAATTTTTTGTTTCTGGTTCTTGTGTAATTCCATTAACTCTAACAACAGAAATTATACAATCTTTAATAGTCTTACAATGCATTGTTATCTATATACATTTAAAAATCCGTTAGTAAAAATCGTATTTAAAAATTTCATTAAATTAAGAAATTAGGTAATACCTCATTGATAAATTCTAATGTAACATTTTCTGAATTATTTAAACTTTTCAGAGCTACAAACTTATCTGAACTATAGTGACGTCGTTCCCAATTTTCATTTTTATTATCCCAACCATCAATATATCCATCAATCCATTTTGCTCTATACACTTTTCCAAAACCACCTTTTGCAATATATTCAATATCATATAATTTATTGTAAGGTATCCACTCTAATACTTGATCATAAAAATTCGCTGATAGTTGATTGTCTTGAATAAATTTGTCAATATCGTTATTACCACTAGTCCAATTTTGAAAATTTTGTTGAAAACGTTTTACATTACATGTTTTACAGTATCCACTTCCAGTATTTTTTTGTTTACATTCTTCACATTCCCCATAAACTTTCTCATAATCCATAGTTCAATAGATAAATTTAGAAAACTTTATTAAATGGTTAATAAAAATGTGCAAATCAACAGCAAAAAAAGCTGAATGTTACCTTGAAATTTTTTTTTTCCGATTTACGTTCACATGCACGACATAAGTGTAACATAGATCGACAAAATAATACTGCGTCAAATGTTGGACAAAAAATGATATACACAGTATTGAATTGTAAAAAAATTTTTTCTTATACTATGTTCAAAAGTTTGAAAAGTTTATTTGATAATTTAGTATTTCTTATTTCAGAGATCCTAAATAATGAATTAATAACTCTACAAATTTATTATACATTTGAATGATATAAAATAAATTCTCGTCATAATAATTTATTAAAAAATTTTGTTTGTAAATCATGCTAATTATTCTGTATAATAAAATAAATTCTACTTTACTAGAAATATAAGATGGTCACAATAATTTATAATATAATTTAAACTCGTTTAAAATTTAATTTACGCACGTTTATTTAAAAAGATCCTGAGCTAATTCAATTAAATTCAGTTTGAAAATTAACATCCCGGAGCAACAAATGTGATTGTTGTTCACATCGTAAAAGCTTAGTTATAAAATTTTCAATTAATAACTTTTAAACTATTGTTTTAATACATTAAACCTTCCATAGTTATAGTATTTTTATTAAAACTAAGCCTTCGTAATACACTAGACTTTTTTTTATCTTCCAAAGTGTTGAATTTTTTTCATTTTGCTTAATGGGCTCTATAAATTTTAAAGAATCAAATTTTGTGTGATTAGTAGTTTTAAGAAATCTTTTTTCATCCAACTAAATTTAATCACTCTTCATTTCTTTTTCTTAAAATTAAAAAGTCCAAGCTAATATTATCGCCGATTTCAAATTAGTGTATCGGATGATTTTTCGATCAATTATAAAAAAAAAAAAATACCAAAAACACAAGAAAGTAACTAAAAACAAATTAAATACAAAAACAAATAATAATATTAAATTTATCTTACACATTAATTAAAAAAATAAATTTATTAATGAATAATAAATAAGTTATATAAAAAAATAAAATTTTTTATTAGATTATAATGGTAGTAAAAATTATTCCTTCAAAAAAAAAACTTTTCCTTATATTAAACATTTAAATATTTAGATTTTAGAGACAAGTATGTATGAACCACTAAGGAAGTTAAGTTAGAATTAATTATTGTAAAAAAAATTGTAAATTTACAAAAAAAGCTTAAATTAAAAAAAAGATAAATCTTTTCGTCCTAATAAAACCAAAGACTCAAAAATAAACTTCTATAATAAAACTTACGGAGTTACGGTAGAACCGTTAAAATCGTTAGTAGGAACCTCAAACTTGCTTTTTTACCTTTAAAGAAATCTTTCATATATATGAAATATTCACTAAAAAAAATAAACTTTAAATAAATTTAATTAATGCTTCGTGAAAACTAGTACTTTATGTCGCACCGATCGACAAATGACCCAATATCACTAATTCGAAAATTTTCTTTAATCAAGAAAAATTACTGTATATAGAATTTTAATTATCTCATTTAAAATTTAATAAAGTTAGAAACCAAAAATTTCCTCTTTCAAATATTTTTTATCATATATTGTTTTTAATACAAATTAAAGAGAGAATGTATCATTATGATGTAAGTTTGCCGCAAAATTTAGCCGCAGGAGCAGTAATATTATCATAATAATCAGCTCCTGAATATGCTTTATATGATAAACTTATCGAAGATATTCTGCTAGTTTGTAATCTATTGTTGATTTCTTTAGCTTTGATTTGTTTTTGTAATTCTATTTGATCATAAAATCTATTACACAAATTAAATATCATAAAGGTCTTCTGCTTTTGGTCGGTTTAATGAATTTGCATCTAAGCATATTTTAACTGAATACACAATCAGTTGGGTAATTTAATTTATCATGACTCAAATCATGGTATGGAGGTAATTCAGAAATCACTTTGTAAATAATTATATCAAACTATAAACATTAGCATTTAGGAGCTTTAGTATGATTTTGTTCTCTTAGAACTTCAAGAGTATAGCGCCGTGTATACTATTTTTTGTATCTTTCGATGTATTATAGTCTGCAGATTTGTATAATCACTTATCAGTTTACCATAACATCAAATCCAAAATGGAGTATATTAACAACAAGAAGTAATTTTCATGGGGGAGCTTGACATGCTTTTAAAGTTCTTTTAAGTGAAAGTTATTGTAAAAAAAAATGGCTTCAATTTATAAATATACAAATTGTTGATCTCTCCTTTATAAATAAGCTTTGTAAAATAAATAAATTTTTTAAATCTAGCTTTTTCCTTAAATCAAATGAATAAACAAATGATTTTTTTCTATTTATAATGATATAGAGAAATGGCAGATTTCGATTTATTATAAGTTAAAATAGTAAAATAGTAAAAATTTAATGGAATTGCTAAATGTGACCTGGGCAATTGTTGCTTGGTGTTTTTTTCCAAATAAGTCACATGATGTACAATATATAGAGTAAGTTTATTAATGGGCTGACGGCTGATTTTTTTAACTTAGCTAATTTTTGATTGGCTAAACTTTAATATAAAATGTTGAAAACGTTTTTTGAATGTCTGGGTTGTTTACTATAGTAGATAGGGGAGTTAGTAGTTCTTTTTAGTTTGTAACCTTTGAATTATTCTTTTCAAGAATTCCTTTTTATTTAAGCAACTGTTGATAAAATTGATAACATATTTATTATTTTTTTTTAAAATTAATTAATGAATGTTAAAAATCAAATTTTTTTTAAAAAAACTACCATATAATACAATTGAAACCTATGAATAGAACGCCTTACTACAACACAACATTTGCGTAAATACATCACTCTGTACCTAACAGTGTACATTACGGATAAAAGCCCAACTTTTAAAAAGAAATACACAATCAAGTTTCTTGGGCTGGCAAGAGTTATAGTTAAATCATGTTAGTAATTATACTACTTGGAGACCTATAGTAATTCTCTTAGAGAGTAAGGAATAATACCAATTGTTTTTCGTGAATGTTTAAATATATCTTTATTATCTTTACTTCTGGATTTAAAAATTGGTAAAGTTTATGTAGTAGGTATAGAAAGCAGCGGTTAAATCAATACACTTAAAATAATATATTACGTGTTTGTTTTCCCAGTCATCAAAAATTTGCTATAACTTAGTGTAAAATTTAGATTTTATATTAAATTATTATAATTAATAGAATTTAATTTTATTATAATAAAGTTTAATTGTATTAATTTAGATTCTCAAAAAGCAACCCTAAATTAGGTTTTATAACGGTATTATTAAATGTAGAATTTTTATTATACTGAAAAACAAAAGCTTGTATACAGCCACATACAATATACTGTATGTATCGATTCAAACATTAATTATTTTATTTATTATTTTTCTTTATGATTTGAAATACTTCATAATCTTCTATTGAAAAATCTTCTATATCTCTTATTTTTTTTTCATAATATTGTTGCATGCTCAAAAGATTGTCATATTCTTGTGAATCATCATCCTCACTTACATTTATATTAATATCATACGCACCAAATGCGGGTCCATATTCAGCATGACAATATAATGCATAATTCATATTCTCAACATGACTTAAAATTGGATCTTTAAAATTATTCTTACTTTTAAAAGAAAATATGAAACTATCTTTGGTTTTATAATATCCACCAGATGATTTCCATTCCAAAGGATTATATCCTCCAATAATTTCTTCCGTTTCTTTTATTTTAATAAATGTTACGGTATGAGGTACATTATCACATAATTTATGAAACTTTTTAGGAGTAAATCCATCTTTGCTTCCTCTTAATAATAATTTAAATTCATATGGTAAATATAATTCTCTCGTATAAGCGAATTTGCTTTTAATATCATTATCAATCCATCTTGAAATTAAAGATACAATATTTAAATTAATGATTTTTGAATCAATAATTCCATCAGCGTTTCTATATCTAGGAAGTAAAATATTATCATTTGGTTCACTATTAGGATTTAAATAGGACTCTAATAACTCTTCATAAAGTTGACGGTTTAAAAGTTTTTTATAAGGTCGAACTTTTTGAAAGAAATCTTCAGATGAAAAACTAAAAAATCTTACTAAAGGTAAACAATTTTGCAAAGTATTTCCCATCATATTGAAATCATCATCTGACCAAGTTGTAAGATCTGAAAGAATTGTAGGATTTTTTTCAAGTCCCCATCTTAATACATGTTCCCAAATTTCAATTTCTTTCATCTGTAAATCATCTCTTTTAATGAGCGATATCAAAGAATTTTCAGGAAGAGAGGTAAAATCAAGTGATTTAAATACTTTTTCAGGAGATTTGGCCATAAACTTTGTACAATATTGTTGTAGTACTAATAAAGAATTAGATTGTAAACTTGTTCGGTAAATATATTCAAAATATTGTTCCATCCACTCAGATTTATTTTCAATTAAATATTCCTGCAAATAATCAATTAGTTCTTGTAGAATAAGTTGATTAGCAGCAATCAAAATTTTTAAAATTTCAGAAGGTTCTTGCTCATTTAAAGAAATGACACCACCATAAATATATCTAAAAAAGAAAAAAATTTTATGATAAATATAAAATATTTAAGGTGTAAAATAAGAATTAGAATATAACTTACTTTAAAATAATTTGAAAAATTTCTGGTGAAATATTTGACAATTTAATGTGAGCCAATACATCATTATCATTTTTTTTGTTGGAGGATAAAATTCGTCGTAAAAATGGAGAACGATAATACAAAATGATCATATGTGCACGAAATATTTTTACGTTTGGGTCCTCACCAACTTCAATAGTAACATCATAATATTCATCATCTTCCAAAATTTCTACATAATTTTGACTTAATCCTGAAAAAAATTGTTTGGACATTTTTCTTACAAAATTTGCGAAATACAAATAAATGTAAACGAACAAAGAAAATAAAGTTAAGGTTACGAATTTGAGTCGATGTTTAACAAAAACAAATGGATAATCGACAAATGATATCCTTTTTAAGAACATAGCCTAACCATATTAATACTTCGTCCAGCGGTGCTAGTAGTTTGATCATTTCGTAATTTTAGAAATTAAAGTAATCATGAATTGGGCTTGTAAGTTTAATTATCAAATATTTAAATAAGCTTTTGTAAAAAAAAATTTTTGTTGACCATTTTTTTTCTTTGATTATATTTAATTAAAGAAATTTTTTTATTAAAATTCAATTTATCCATTACAATAGGATAATTTTTTTATCTGGATTCTAAAAATTAAATTATCATAAACCAATAATGCAATTTAACTAATTTAACTAGTAAGGGCAGTGACAGATATTACCTAATATTCTAGGGGGAGGGGGGGTAATTGAAAATCTTAGGTTACATATATACTATATAAGGAATGGGGGAGGGGGGGTAAGCTCTTATAATAAGCTGATATTAGGTAATATCTGTCATTGCCCTAACACACTGTATATATATAATTGACATTTACTGCGCACTGTTCATTCAAGCATTATATTCTACTTGTAAATTCTTATTGATGAATGTACAATTGAGAAATTTAATTTATTCAATCTTATTCATAAACTTTTACTTGACAGTTACAAGTTTTCTGTCAAGAAAATAAGTACTATATGTTATGATATTTCAACGTTTATCTGCAGATCAATTTTTATTTGAAAAAAAAAACAATTAAGGGTAAATTTAAAATCCAGCCCTTTGTATCTCGTCTTTATTCCAAAAATGGATATTTTTTATGCCCATCATTTAATTCTGGCCAGAATTAAATACGTCATGTGATTTAACGAAAAAATCGGAAAAAAAAAAATGTCAAAAAGGAGATTTAAGCATCACGAGATACACATTTATTCAAAAATTAATTATTGATAAAAAATTATACCAATAAACCATCTCTTTTTTTTTTTTTTATAATAGTTTAATTTTTTTATTTTTATTTTTTTTTACTTGTTTCTAATAAAAAAAACTTGAAGAAAAGATTAATTTTTTTCTAATTTTTTAATAATGAAAAAATCTTTTTTTTTCCTAATTTTCTGATAAGAGACAAAAAAAAAAAATTAATTTTTATAATTTTCTAATATAAAAAAAAATAAACTACTAATAAAGAAACGTAAAAAAAATACTTTATATATCAAAAAAGATTTTTTTTTCTTTATTAGAAAAAAATATTAGAAATTAGAAAAAATAAATGTCCGTTAGCTATTGCATATATTAGAATATAAAGGAAAGGGACTTCTTTCGTTGCAAGTAAATCAATACTGGTACTTAAATATATATGAATATTTTTGCTAATTTCCTTAAATTCGATGGTGTAACCATATTTCTGAGAAGTCCTCCGCAAGTTGTATGTTTAAACTGAATATAAAAAAAGAACGGATAATTTGAAACGCCAATTACCAAAAACAAAGTAAGTTTTTAAGAAAAATTCTCATGAATTTTTCTTGCTAAATTCGTGGGAATTTCTTCCTTTTGTACAAAAATACTTTATAATAAATGCGGACGAAGTCCCCCGGCAAGTTGCATATTCAATAATTAATAGTTATCCGGTATCCCGTGATTTCTGATACACGATTATCAAAATCACGTGATACCGGATAAAAGACTTGTACGTTTTCGTGGTACATCATTCTTTGTTAACCAAATTTAGTATTTTACTTTTTTTTTACGCAAAAAGGTAAAAGGCTTATACGTTTTCATTACGCCATATTTTTTTTTTTAGTATTGAACTACTTATATTTAAAATCAAGTTATTAGTCTATCGTATCGTTTAAAAATTTTAATATTTTAATGGAATTTCTTGGTTTGAGAGATTTGACCGCCGGGAAAAAAATTATTGCAGAAAATTTTGCAAATTGGACCAGTGGAAATGAAATAATTGATAATTTCATTCAAGAAAAGCAACTAAATTACGATAGTACATATGCAAATGGTGTTTATAAAAAAGCAGTATTTGAATGGATACCATATAATGAGCTTATTAATATTAACGAAATAGGAAAAAATTGTTTTGCTACAGCAATATGGAAGGAAGGTCCATTATTTTATTTTAAAAGTGAAAATGAATGGGCAAAAATTTCGTATGAAGTTGTTATATTAAAATTTTTATATGACTTACAAAATATAACAGACGAACTTATTAATAAGGTATTCAATTTCTCTATTAATTAATTAGAATATTAACTTTTTCCATATATTGATAGGTTGAACCATATTTAAAAAGTGATGTTAATTTTTGGAATATCTTAAAATCCGGATACGGAAGTTTATCTTTTAGTTTTTAGTAATTACTATTTTAACTATTATTGTGAAAAATGTGATAATAAATACGGTAGTAGTTATAGTGAATGGTGTAAAGAATGTCAAATAAATCAATTAAAAAATGATTTTACAAATTGGACTAGTGGGAATGAGAAAGTTGATAACTAGTTGCCGTGATGGGATATTTGAATGTATGTCATACAATGAGTTTATCATTATTGAAGAGTTAGAGAATTATACTTTGGCAATATGGAAAAAAGGTCCATTATATTATGATTATAATGATAAAAAAAGGTAAGAAAATCGCGTGAAAAAGTTTATTTGAAATATCCATTCAATTCACAAGAAATTACTGCCAAATTTTCAAATGAGGTATTAATATTTTCTATATTTAAATCAAATATCAATATAATATTAATTTTTCCATATTTTAATAGGTGGATCATATTTGAAAAATGATGTAATCCTTGGAATATCTCAAAATCCTGATAAGGAAGTTTATCTTTTAGTTTTCAATGTTAAATATTTTGACCATTATTGTGAAAAATGTGGTAATGAATCCAAAAATAGGCTTGATAAGTGGTGTAAACAATGTGAAATAGATTATTTAAAAAATAATTTTGCAGACTGGACTATTGGAAATGATAAAATTGATAATTCCATCCAAAAGATGCTATTAAAAATTAATAGTTGTCGTGGTGGGATATTTGAATGAATATCATACAATAAGTTTATTGAATTTAAAGAAATAGGAAATAATGTCTTAACAGCAATATGGAAGGATGGATCATTATATTTTAGCAGTATAAGAAAGAGTTACGATCGGGAAATAAATAAAAAAGTCATTTTAAAATTCCTATGTAATTCACAAAATGCCAGTCACTTATTTTTAAATGAGGTATGAAACTTTTCTAATAATCTAACTTATTTTTTAATAATTAATAATATAATGATTTTATATTTAAAGATCGTATATTCAGTTAAGGAAAATTATGGAATAACTCAAAATCCAGATACAAAAGATTATATGTTAGTTTGTAAAATTGAATACTACTGTGAAAATTGCGGTAAGCAATACAATAATCAATTTGAAATAAATAATAAAAGCTGTATATCATGTCAGACAAATCCTGAAAATAAAGAAATTAATGATTTAATTCAAGAAATTAAATTAAGTATTGATAGACGATCTGACATTATGTTTGAATGGATACCATATGACCAGTTTAATGATATTAAAGAGATAGGTAAAGGTGGTTTCTCTACAGTATATTCAGCAATTTGGAAAGATGGCTTATTATCTTATAAAGGGAAAAGAAAATCAAATACAAAAATTGCTTTAAAATGTTTAAATAATTCACAAAAATTACTTGATAAGTTTATAAATGAGGTATGAAAATTCTTTATATATTTAGCAAAAACAATAGCTAGTAATTTACTAATTTATCCATATACTAATATTATTTAATAGGTTAAAGCATATCTACAACAAAATGTAAATAATATTCTTAAAATATATGGAATATCTCAAAATCCAAATACAGAAGAGTATATTATGGTTCTTGAATATGCAGAAGGTGGAAATTTCAATAGTTATTTAAAGGAAAAGTGTGTAGTTTTTGATTGGTCTAATGGATTAAAAATATTAATTAATATTATTGAAGGTCTTCATAAAATTCATCAAAAACAAATAGTTCACCATGATTTTCATACTGGGAACATATTATTTACAAAATGTGATAATTATGTTGGTTTATATATTGCATGTATTTCTGATATGGGATTATGTAAAAAAGTTAATGGTATTAATTAAACACATATTTATGGAGTTATGCCTTATGTAGCTCCTGAAGTGTTAAAAGGAAATCCTTATACTCCAGCAGCAGATATATACAGCTTTGGTATGATTATGTATGTCATAGCAACTGCAAAACAACCTTTTGCCAATTGTGCTCATGATGAGGTTCTAGCATTAAATATATGTAATGGAATTAGACCTGAAATAAATGATCAAATTGCACCAAAATGTTATATTGATTTAATGAAAAGGTGTTGGGATTCAAATCCAGATAATAGACCAAATTCAGTTGAAATAAAAGAATTGATTGACCTATTTGGCTATTCATTAAATCAATATTATATCATGAAACAACAAATACATCATGAAATTGAAAAACAATTTAATGAGACACAAGAATATAGAAAAGAAAATTTTTTATCAATAAAAAATAATCAATTAACTACTCATACACAAGCTATTTATACATCTCGATTACTTAATCCTTTTACAAAAAATCTTCTAAAATATAATGATAATATTAATAGTAATACAGTAGAAGTTACTGATTTTACAAAGTAAGTTGTATTTTTTTTTTTTATTCTTCTGTTTTTATTTTTTACTCATCTTTTATTCTACTTTTATAGCTTATAAGTTATAACCATTTTTTGTAAAAAAAATGATAGTTTAAATTATAAGAAAATAAATGTATTAAACTACTAATAAATGACATAAATATGAATAGCAGAAATTATTTTGACTAAATTTATGATATATCCTTTCAGTTAATATTTACTTTTAGGAAAAATTTAGTATACTTTTTTTCATAAATTATTTATTATTAGGTAGCAGTTTTATATTTACTAGTTTTTGTTTAACACTGATTATAGAGTAATATGTAAAACTTTTTTACATAATAAAAATCAGTTTGTAATTAAACAAAGTTTACTTTTAGAAAATTTATTATACTTTTTTTTTCATAAATTATTTTATCATTAAATAGCAATTTTATCTTTATTAGTTTTTGTTTAACACTTGATTATAGAGTAATATGTAAAACTTTTTTACATAATAAAAATCAGTTTGTAATCAAATAAAATTTTATAATTTTATGAATGATTAATAGATAAATACCATAAAATCAAATAATTGAATTTAATTTTTATTATTATTTTAATATAAAAGTAAGTACACCAACAAATTTCAGCAACTTTTGTAATCTTGTATATTTAAACTTAATACAATTTAGAAAATTCAAATATTATAAATATTATAAACTTTATTATAACCCCTCATATTAACTTACTCTGATATATAAATTTTAATTTCGGCCAGCACTACGAATTCTGCTGACAGATTTGTTATATATACCATAAAATTTCCTCAGATCATCTTTATTTTTTGAAAAATTGAGACCTAATTTTTTAGTGAAGCTTTCGAGATCTAGACTTTCAACAGTATTATTATTTGTCACTTCAGGTTTTGAGGTGAATTTTATATCAGTAGACGTTTTAAAATTAGATGCAATATTTTCTTTTGTTTCAAGTGGGTTTTCAGAAATTTTAACACCTATGAGCAATTTGCATGTTATCACTTTGAAAATATAATACTATTCCGAAAACTGAAAACCCCAGTAAAAAACCTTTAGTTTTCTTTTTAAATCACTTTAGGGCTTCTAGAATTTGCATACTGTTATAGGGAATTTGTAAATACAAATTTTATTTAAATTAACAAATCGAGAATTATTTATAATTCAATCAATATTTATTTACTCATTCTGAATCGAATTACATAATTTTTTTTTACTATAACTAGAAATCTTTTTTTATATATATATAGCACAATTATATCACTTTTGTAGCTGGGAATTATTAATATAGATCATGTAAGTGATGTAACCAGAATTATGATAATAGTCATGATGAGTCTCTTCTAATTTGAGAAGGATATGTTGGTAACACATATTTTCTTTATTAAATTTAACAGGAAATTTCATATATTAAAATATAGTAGTCTTAAACCATCAACTAACACAATATTAAATTTTTGTGGTCATGATGACATGATATCAAAAAACTACTACAGTGCATACAATTTAGTCCCAGCAATTAAATTTGATGAAATTTAAATCACTACTATTCATTCAAAAAAAAAGATAAACATAAAGTATAAACGTACAATGATAAACCAGATTAAGCTTAATAAAACTATGTTTTTAAATTTCCTGTAAAGTATTTTTTAATAAAGTAGTAGCAATTCAAAGTTGAAATATTTGTCTCTTATACACATCTAGATGTGTATAAGAGACAGG